CGAAGGAAGGATCTAAGAAACGGCTAAAGATATGAACTGGAGACTTGTTAGAGATGATAGACCATGACTTCTAGATGTTCGAAATTACCTTGGTTTTCGTCGTCAGTACTTCCGGTCGTCACCGGAAGTGTTCAAAGAAATCGAAAATTTCAAGTTTTCTTTTTTAAATCAAATCTTGCATCACATCATTGCAACTCTTTCGCAGTTTCGAAATATTTTGGTCCCACCGGAAACAAAAACGACAACTTCCGGTTATAAGAGAAAAACTACATAATTTATGTATCTTACTTTCCCATAAATATCTTTTATAGGTAAAGTATTTGAAATGATTTTTAGATATGTTATTCAGATTGCAAATGTCTAGAGTAACGTCAAATACCTTTGCAAAATTCACTTCCGGTCGCGTGTTTTTCTCTCCTCAAAATGAGAAAATATCTGAGCGAGATCTCAGAAACGGTAAGAGATTAAGACAACAAACTTATATGAGCAATAGACCTTGAAGAGTAAACAAAATCCTTTGGGTTAAACTGTCAGTCGTCACTTCCGGTCGTCACAGGAAGTGATCAAAGAAATAAAAAAAATCAACTTTTTTTGTTTAAATTAAAACTTGCATCACCTTATTGCATCTCTTTCGCTGTTTTGAAATATGTGAGACTCCTCCGGAAACAAAAACGTCAACTTCCGGTTTTAGGAGAAAAAATACGTTATTTTGATATTTAACTTTCTCATAAATATCGCTTATAGAAAAAGAATTGAAATGTTTTAATACATGTTGTAGATACTGCACATGTCTAGAGACACGTTAGAGATTGTTTATAAAATTCACTTCCGGTCGCGTGTTTTCCTGTCCTCAAAATTAGACTTTGTTCTCACAATTGCTCGGCAACAATATACGACTGAAGTGTGAAACTTTCAGGAATGATAGTCCGTCATCAGTTTATTTGCATCGTATGAAAATTGTGTGTCGCCATTACTTCCGGTGGTGACAGGAAGTGATGCAAAAAGTGAATGGTTAATGTTTAGCACGTTGGATTTTCACGCTGACGACCAGTGTTAAATTTCCAGAGTGTCTGAATTTCTTTTATCACTTTTTCATCTTGAATTTTCGTTTTTATTTTCAGAATCGGACGGAAGACCTCTCATTGCTCGCAATGAGTTTCTAGTTATTATTCTTTTTTTCATAGTACAGGCCATATCTCAGCTGTGCGCGGTTCAATTTAAAAGATTTTTGCAGGGAAGATGCATCATGAATATATCTCCAGGGGTGTCCCTCACTTTTTTGAAATTAACTTCCGTTCGCTATTTTTTGGGGAAATTGTATTTTTTAAATGGAAAAATTCCATTTAAAAAATACAATTTTCCCATTAATTTTCTCGAGAACGGCTAAAGATATGAAATTGAAACTCACAGACGTGATAGAACATTAAATGGAGATATGGAGATCGACCTTTATTTTTCGTCGTTTGTATTTCCGATCGCGAACGGAAGTGAATTCAAAACTCTTAAATTTGCAACTTTTTTGTTTTTCAATATTTTTCTTTGAAATTTATAGGGTTAATAGAGAGTCTTCTAAGAATTCTATGTATGTTTTAACCATTTTGATTTATGCATTTATTGCAAAGATATGACCGATCAAAACTTTCTCGTATGTTGCGCGTTCGAATCCTGCTGGGACGGGAGATCGTTTCTCTCTTTTTTCAGTTGTAAATAATATTTTTCTCCGTGAAGACATGTATGACAGTTTTTGCTTATTTTTTAAAGCTTTGTTAACAGAGATTCTACAGAAATCCTTTAATAATTAGGATCTATGTTGAAAGACTGTGATACATAAACGCAAACGAAAAATACCTTCAATAAAGTATTAAATGAAGTGAGATAGCATAGCGTTCTGGAGAGATGTTTGGTCGGAAGACCACTTGTTGCCCTAGCAACAAGAAACGCATCTAGTTATTTTTTTTTTTTTTTGCCAAATTTTGTGCAGACGTTTTCTCGAAAACTATTCAGTATTTTTCAGTGAAACTTTCAGGAAAAATTAGTCATTGTATGAACTTTGTTCATCACAAAGAAAATTTTGAAAATTCCTTTTTAGTTTCAAATTATTGGCGATTTCCTGTTTTTAAATGGAATGTTGTCCGCGGCAGATCTAAAGAACGGCTAAAGATATAAACTGGAGACTTATTGAAGAGCATAGAACATGACTTGTAGATTTGTGGAATCGCCTTTTGTGCGTCGTCAGTACTTCCGTTCGCTACCGGAAGCGAATAAAAAAGTCGATTTTTTGAATTTTTTGTTTTTTTTGTTTTTCAATATATTTCGATGATATTAGTAGTCTTAATAGAGACTCTTTTAAGAATGCATAATATACAAATTGTTTGAAAATTGATAATAAATATAATTATTATTCATTTTTTTTAGACAAATATTGTGCACGCGATATCTCGAATACATTCAGTGGTTTTTCGTCAAACTTTCAGGGAATATGCGTTTTCAAAAGCTATAATTGTTACATTTGAAAGAATTTTGGAAATAAGAAATGGTCTTGCTAGTTTGATGGCTAGTTTGTTCAATTTTCACGCGGGCGACCTGTACTCAATCCCCAGAATGTCTGGATTTTTTGGGGGTACTTTTTTCAGCTGAAATATTACATTGTATCTTTTTATCTGGTATTACTTTCCGTTCGAGTTACGCGATATATTATATAATTTACGTTTTATAGTATTTCATGTATGAAGGAAATAAAAGGAATGCACAACGTCATATAGATAGTGTTATGAGTGAGGAATCAACTTTTCTGATGACGGAAAGGGGGCGGATGACCTTCTTGTTGCCATGGCAAAAAGTTTCTAGTTATTATTATCCCCCCCCCCATTTTTGTCCAAACGATTTCTCAGTGATGGCTCAATGGATTTTCTTGAAACTTTCATGGATTGTGGCAAATGAAATAAAACTCGAAAAATTTTGAAGGATTTTGCAAAATTCACTTACGGGCGTCAGATATATCCGATTTCCGTTTTTTCAAATGAGATCATGTCCGGACGATATCTCAGAAATGATAAAAGCTTAAGACACTAAACTTCCAGGAATGATAGATCATGACAAGTAGGTTTGCTGAAAATGTTTAAATCCGTCAGCCGTCACTTCCGGTCGTCACCGGAGGTGATCAAAGAAATCGAATATTTCATTTTTTTTTCTTTTGAACCAAAATTTGCATTACTTTACTCCATCTGTATTGTAGTTTCGAAATATGTTAGACCCACCGGAAATCAAAATGACTACTTCCGATTAAAAGAGAGAAACTACGTAATTTGTATGTTTAACTTTCTCATAAATATCGCTTGTAAATAAAGTAATTGAGATGATTTTTATATATGTTATTGAGACTGCAGATGTCTAGAGTAACGTCAAATATCTTTGTAAACTTTATTTCCGGTCGCACGTTTTCCTGTCCTCAAAATGAAATTTTGTCCATGCAACAGCTCAGCAACATTACAAGATTGAAGTCTAAAACTTTCAGGAATGATAGTCAGTCATCAGTTGATCTGCACCATTTGAAAATCAAACATTGCCGTCACTTCCGGTCGTGTCAGGAAACGATTCAAAAAGTGATTTTTCAAGTTTCTTTGTTTTTACAGACAATTAAGACCAATACGATGTAAGATAGGACATGTCCATGCAAACTATTTCCACCGGAAGTGCCGGCCGAAAAAAAAAACAGAAGTTGTCTCAAACATGCGTATTTTTTCATACAAACTTCTAGGGTGATTAGTTGTGAATAATTAAGGTGTAGGATGAATTTTTTTATTCGTTTGGATTACCTCCGGTCATGTCTGGAAGTAAATAAAGAAAACAGGAAAGTAATTTGGAAATAGTCATTTCATTTTTTTTTACCTATATTTATATGTCTTTGGAACTTTTGCGATGACTTTTATAATCATTTAGACTTCTCTAATTGATAAGATTTTTTTTTCAAAGGAGTCAAGAAAACGGAAGACCTGTTATTGCCTAGGCAATAAGCATCTATTTTTTAAAACAAATTTTGTGCTTGGCGATATCTGGAGAACTATACATTTTTTTCCATCAAACTTTCAGGGATCAGGCACTATAAGATGTCTTTGTCACATTTGAAAGAATTTTGTAGAAATTCGCTTCTGGTTCCAAGTTATGGACATTTTTTTCTGATTTTAAAATGAAATTTATTTTGTTCTGATTTTAAAATGAATTTTTGTCCGCGCAGGATCCAAAGAATGGCCAAAGATATGAAACATGTCTTCTAGATTTGCGAGTTTGCCCTTTCGTTTGTTGTAATACTTTCGGTTGCTACTGGAAGCAAATTAAAAAAGTCAATTTTTTCAACTTTTATGTTTTCAATATTACTTTTTTCTTTGATTTTAGTAGGGGTAATAGAGACTCTTATCAATATGCTTATTATATAATTTTTTTTTAAATTGTCCACTGGAAGTAGTTTTTTTTTTAAAAAAAATAATTAAAAATAACTTAAAATTCAATAATCAAACAGTAATGGAGTGAAAGTACGAATGAAATGACAATTTAGAGGACTATAGATAAAATACAGAGTGTCAATAAAAACAAACAGATTAATCGGCTGTGTCTGAGTGTAATTCAAGAATGTTAAACACATTTGCTGAAATATGGGAAAAGCTTTTGCAAAAATAAATACACAATCAGAAAAAAGTTAAATTACTAAATAATTTACATTAAGCCCCCCCCCCTCCCCTAATTCAATTAATCAGTGGTTGCCAGCGTTGAATATAAGAGCCTCTGAGTTAAATTTGAGAAGGAAATATAATTATCAGTTGACTATGTAAAATTAAGACTTATATGTAATCAATGATTTTTTTGGAAATAAAGCCACAAGAAAGTCAGGAGGAAAAGAAAGAAGTTAAATTAAACATGTATAAGATCAATCGTTCACTCAACAAGCACAACAAAATAGATTCAGAAGTATGTTATTATTTATATAGGATTTTTTTTTATTTCAGGAGCCTTTTTAGTGCCATATTTGTTGATGTTGATTTTCTTGGGACTGCCTCTATTTTACATGGAGTTAGCTCTGGGACAGTTTCAAAGGTGCGGTGCTATCAGTGTGTGGAAGAGGATTTGTCCAATATTTACTGGTAAAAAATTCTGTCAAATGTTTACTGATAAGAATCTATTCATCCAACATTTACTGTTAAAAATCTGTCAAATTTACACTGGTAAAGATCTATACGTCCAATTTTTACTTGGAAAAATCTTCATTTCACATCGTTAAAATTTTACTGGCAAGGATCTCTTTGTCCTTGCAAAATATATACTGGTAAGGATCTAGATACACATTTTTCCAACGCATGATTTCTTTGTTCATAGAAAGTGAGATCGTATGAAATTTAGATACTGCTCTATTGACACACCTTTTATTGACTTTGTTCATAGAAAGTAAGATTGTAGGAAATTTAGTAGCTGCAGATCTGTAGCTCGCTGGTCTGAAAAAATTGGGATAGACGACCAGAGAGCTACAGTGCCACCCATTGAAAAAAGTGTATATTTATTGCGGATAAAAAAGTGCACTGTTTCTCGATTTATTTCTCCGTAGTTTTAAGCTGCTATCTCAAAATATTACAAACCGTGTGTTCCTAACATATCTTTTTGCTACTTCCACAATAAAACATTTCCCAAATCCGTTGTAAAAAGCCCTCCTGGGCCTGAAATTGAGATCATCGAAAAATTCGCCTATCTATACTGCCATCTTGGGTGGCAAGACAATACGATCCAACATGCTTCGTACATAACTTGCACAAACAGTTTTGTTGTGAAAGTAGTAAGAGGATATGTTAGGAACACACGGTTAGCAATATTTTTAAATATACTGAGAAATAAATCGAGAAAAAGCGCTCTTTTTGTGCGCAAAAATACACACTTTTTTTCAATGGGTGGCACTGTAGCTCTCCGGTCGTACATCCTAATTTTTTCAGACCAGCGAGCTACAGATCTGCAGCTAGAAATTTAGATATTACTCTATTTACACACCTTTTATTGACCCAAACTGACCGATGTCCCAATCAGTGATTGCACTAAGCCCGGGAAGGTAGATAATGTTCAGTCTTCTTGCAAAAAGAGGGAATTTATTGTTCTTTCTGTGAGAGGTTAAAAATTTTTTTTGGATCACTTAAGGGGGATTGACTCTCTGAAAGGAGATATAACTTTTCAAGTAAAAAATCCATATTATCTTATTATCTTACTGGAGTTTAATAATGGAGACCTTACAGTACTCAATTTTATCAAACCAAATATATGCTGGAAACATTAACTTGTATTTTCTTTTTTCTATTTTTTCAAATTGTTTTATTATGTTTGGGAACACTTTTTTTTAAAATTTCATTTAAATTTCTTCTCCGGTACTTTTTTTCCGCGAGTGTTCTCGAAAACTACTCGTCCGATTGAGATGAAACCTTTTTAGGGTTAAAACAGGTATGTTGTGTAGATACGGTAACAAAGGTCATTTTGCGCGCACATGACTGCAAGTGCGTGCGCGTGCGATGAGTGAAATGACTGATATACTTGATATAGCCGCAACTTTTATATTTTTTGAAAAAATGCTTTGAAACTCATAACATAAAAGATATATTGGTAGTGTTGACAAGATGACAAGGTCAAATTAGCATGAACTCGCGTGCATGCACGTGCACTTTGCTCTGATTAGCTAAAGCAAGTATTTCAATAACTTCAAAAGTAACTTCAAAAACTACAAAAAATCTGCCCTATGTAATGAAACTTACAGAAAGTGGGGCACCTATAGAGGGAGTAGAGGAGCATTTGGGGAACATCTGTAAAGGTCTTCGTTACAATTAGAACCAGTTATATTTGACATAAAACGTTTACATCCTGTTTTAAAAACTTAACAAATTTAATTAAGCTCTATCTTTTTATGAATTATTTTAAAAATGCTTTAATGTATCATATACCACATGTTGAATTTTTTATCAGTAATACATGTACATTTTTTCCCATTGAAAAAACATTTTTAGGAAAGATAATTCTTGTTTATGGATGTATTCTTTTAACAAAAGCACATATAACATTGTGATATGCTAGGAAGCAGCACTTTATTATGTTTTCTAATATAAATTTAATAGGTATGACACTAAATATTATTTTTATATACACCTCATATTTTTAATTTGGTATTAAATTATTACTATTCCTATTCTGTGAAAAAAAAGTATTCATTTCATGGTCTGGCATGAAAATCATTTCTAAAAATAAACGCCGCTACATAACTCATATTTTTTTTTATTTGAATCTAATGTTTTAGTTCTTGACGAAAGTCAATATTTGAAAGTTTTTTTAAAAAAACAAATTGTGAATTTAGAGCAGAGGGTCATTATTTCTCGAAACTCATAGCCTGGAAGACATTTTGAAATTTAAATATTCTCCACTTCTATCATACGTGTATGTAGAATTGCATTGGTAAATTTATAATCAATTGTACTGTTAATTGATTGATTTAAGTAAATTAAGGAACGTGCATTGACCTTCACATATATCAAGCTGGCCCATTGACTGAACGAATATAAATCAAGGGCACCGCAAAGCGGAGCATCCCCTTGAAAAAGAACCTATCGAAGCCGATATAAATTATTACTTGCGTAACTTCCGTAACGCACGCACTCATTAACACACACTCACGCGTATGCACGCTCCAACGTCGTTACGAGGGGATAATAAATATACATCGATCTCGAAAAACAATCTTATTTTTTGTATGTTAATGTACATTTCAAAATTTATACTTGCTATCGAGTTGTTTAATTACTTGGAGTAATAATGTAGAAAACCGAAGCTATTTTACTTAATGTCATTTTTATTTCTTGTTTGTGTAAACTAATACGAGCTCAAAGTCACTGAAGTACATAAGAATGGAACAATGCTGCTGTTCATGCTAGACGTGATAAAAACAGACGTTAGTACCTAATGGTATTGTCATATATACAATTACACCATCAAAAGATTGCTTAAATAACCGGCATTCTGGCACGAGATCATGTGCTGTACAATTTTCTCGGCTTACGAATTTTGCCAACTAGAATACGAGGAACAGAAATCCCACTGAAATCGTGACACACATTTAAAACGGAGAAGCTATGAGAAAAAATAATTTATTTAAATGTCATTAGGATGTAAAGTGTTATAGACACCTCAATAGTCCGCTAAGCGTTCCTACATATAGCTCTCTGATATACCGCGCCATAGCTCGACCACTTAATGTATCGACAAAACTACGCTGTCCACAGCATAGAACATGATTAAACGAATCGTAAACTTTTAAATGTAATGACGTTGCTTTGTTTATCTTTTGTTGCCTTTTTTTAAATATAAGACTGGTTAATTTCTTTAATAAACATCTTTACACATCTGTTAGGGAAAAAAACCCGTTAAGTATACCCAAGAGTCGGCGATCAGCACTCAAAAAGTCAGCAATACATAAAGAATAATTCATAATTAAATAATAATAATAATAATGAATTATATAAGTAGCACTTGGACTTGAAACTTTGCAACAGCAATAAATAGAATAATGATCCTTGATTTACTCTTTTTTGTGGCAAGATTTATTGCAATCAGACTAAAACTATAGGTTAGGTAGTCTTTTGAAACAATTTTACAGAAATGTCTATTTTAAGTAACCATGGCAACATCAATCATCAAAATAAAAGACTGATAAAGACACATATGTATCTTAGTGTAGTCTACCTGCATGCCAAGTTATATTAAAATCAGACCAAACTGTAGGAGGAGTAATTTTTAAAGTGTTTCGCAGAAAGAACAAGGTACGGTTTTAATACAAATTTGCCCTGTATTTTTCTAAAATATGAAAGAGATGTAAGAAAATAAAACTCGTGCCTTTTGAATCATTGAAACTCCATGCAGTAAGAAGATGCAAATTGTTTTTCTCAAATGACCTCCTAAATGCTAATTATGACGTCATGAACTTGTGCATTTTCCCATATTTTCTTAAAAAGTAGCAGAAGACATCAATTTTCAGTAGAATTTTCTATAAAATGATATAGAGCACATGCATCGCCCACAAAGATTTTGATAAATGTGACTTTAAAGGACTTTACACAAAATATCAAAAAAATGAAGTGGACGACGACTGTGGACACTATTTTTTTAAAGGACACTGTGTATGTGGACACTATTTTCTTTAGGGAAATAACGCCTGAAATGAGTCATTTTGAGGCTTTTATGTTTAAAACTTTTTTAAATGTAACATATAAATGACGTCATATTTCCACAATGGTCTTCCTTAATGCTATATTCTTTCATGATTTTTCAAGTTCATCTACTCAACTCATATTTAAGCCAATTTCATAACTTTTCAAGAACATTAAATTTTTAGGGCACAATAAAGCCAAAAACCTTACCTTCTTCTTTCTATTTTTAGCGACCATTTCAAGACTTCAACAAAACCATTGCCAAAAGCCGATATAAAGAATAATGTATTTCAGTGTAATCTACTTGTGTGCCAATTCATACTGAAATCAGTCTAAAACTGTAGGAGGTGTAGCGCTTTGAATTTATTTCACAGAAATTTCTATTTTGTAACCATGGCAACACCGTTCATTGAAATCAAATACAAATATAAAGAATTTTGTTCCTTAGTGTAGTCTACTTGCGTGCCAAGTTATACTGAAATCAGACCAAAACTGTAGGAGTAGCGTTTTGAATGTATTTTACAGAAATTTTTATTTTTTTAACAATGGCAACACCGTTCATCGAAATCAAAACCCAATAAATAGAATAATGAACTTTAAATTAGTCTACTTGTGTGCCAAGAAATACTGAAATCAGACCAAAACTGAAGGTGGAATAGCGTTTTGAAAGTATTTCACAAAAATTCAATTTTCAGTTACCATGGCAACGCTGTTCATCGAAATCAAAAACCGATAAAAAGAATTATGTATCTTATTGTTGTCTACTTGTGTGCCAAGTAACACTAAAATCAGACCAAAACTGTAGGAGGAGTAGCATTTTAAAGTATTTCACAGAAATATCTATATTTAGTAATCATGGCAAAACCGTTCATTGAAATAAAAAACCGATAAAGAGAGTTATGTATTTTAGTGTAGTCTACTTGTATACGAATTTATATTTAAATCAAACCAAAACTGTAGGAGTAGAAGCGTTTTGAATGTATTTCACAGAAATTTTTATTTTTAGTAACCATGGCAACACCGTTCATCGAAATCAAAAACCAATAAATAGAATTATGTACATTTAGTGTAGTCTACTTGTGTGCGAGGTTATATTGAAATCTGACCAAGATTGTAGGAGGAGTAACGTTTTTTAGTAACCATGGCAACACCGTTCATCGAAATCAAAAACCAATAATATACAATTATTGCTGGTTTCTGAGTTCAATACGATGATTTAGACACCTTCGATGTACAATATTCACCTAGACCAAAGGGCGAGGTGGATATTGTACTTCGAAGGTGGCTAAATCATCGTTTTGACCGAAAAAACAACAATAATTGTTTTATTAAATGATTCAATGATTAAATGACACACACTCATTAAGCAATCCATGCCATCTTTGACTAGCCCCCCCCCCCCCCCCCATCTATAAAAGGAAAAAAATTATCCCAACTCAAAATTTTATTTACTGGGATGTAAAGGTCCATAAACGAGGGGAGGGGGGCTTTCATTGAATTTTTTATCCTTAAAATTTAAATCAAAACTGTACATTCTCAAAAGGTAGGGAGAAGGGCAGGCCTCCTGCAACCCCCAACCCCACCCCTCACCCAAAAATCTATGTGCCTTAATGTTATGTTCATATGAGTGGAAGTCAGGTGCAAGTGAAAAACTTTCCTAAACTCTCTGCATCAATTTGGAATTTCCCTATCTATTTTTGGTCCAATGTACAATAAATTATTCCTTATATTGACCTGGAAGGTCATGTGCAGGTCAATATAACGTGGTATATTTCTAACATTGTTGGATCTCAGCCAATCATAGAGACGGGAATTATTCAATCATATAATAAATAGAATTATGTACCTTGTGTAGTTTTTTTGTGTGCGAGGTTATATTGAAATCAGATCAAGATTTTAGGAGGAGTAGCGTTTTTGAATGTATTTCAAAAAAATTCTATTTTTAGTAACCATGGCAACACCATTCATGGTAATCAAAAACCGATATACAGAATTATGTGTCTAAGTGTAGTCTACTAACGTGCTTAGTTATATTAAAATCAGACCAAAACTGTAGGAGGAGTAGCGTTTTGAATGTATTTCTCAGAATTTTCTATTTTTAATAATCATGGTAACACCGTTCATGTAAATCAAAAACTGATAAATAGAATTATGTATCTTATTGTCTTTTGCCTGTGTGTCAAATAATATTGAAATCAGACAAAAGCTGTAGGAGGAGTAGCATTTTGAAAAATTGTTTACATACAGACGAACAGACAGACGGACGGACACCATACTACCGCATAAACTCCTCTTGTCTCTGACCAGTAGGGCTAAAAATGGAATCTTTAAACTGTATACATTTTTTTAAGTTGTGTTTTTCTGACATTGTAGGTGTGGGGTATGGAATTTGCCTGGTAGCCACATTTGTAGCGTTTTATTATAACACTATAATAGCATGGGGCATGTTTTATATGTTTGCCTCCTTTCGGTCTGAGTTGCCATGGGAAAATTGCAATAACACATGGAATACCGAAAATTGTATGTCCCTGTCAACGAATTTCAACAGAAGTCTGATAAACAATCATACCGTGACCGCCGCTGGTGAATATTATTTGTAAGTACTTAACTTTCGTATTTTAAATAATTCAATGCATTTATTGGCTATTTCTAAGTATGCATTATATTTAAATATTTTCTATTTAAAGTGGTATGGTCTGTACCTTTGATTACTAATTTCAGTAGTAATTAGAGGTACTGAGAGCACTGAGCTCACAAACTTATATTCCCCGCTCCCTTATGAGTATAATGAAAAAGTCCATTTTTTGCTCAAGGAAAGCCCAAATATGTATTCAATCAATAAGTCAAATAGGAGGTGCATAATGGCACTCATCCTCACAATGTCAGGGGTCCTGAGTCAACAAGCGGTTGGACACCTGACAAATTTCATTCGTTTTATTTGGGCTTGCTTCTCTCATTGAGAAGCACCAATGAAATTGAAGTAGACAGATAATGAAAACAGAAAGGAATCAGTTAACATAAAATGCACGTGTTAAGCATTTTTATCACTAAAAGGCTTAATGTGATTGGTTGAGAGGTGAGAAAGTGATTGGTTGAGAGGTGAGAAAAACAATCAAAATTTGTAATTTTCCCGAAAGACGTCGCTGCAGCCAGACCGCAAAATATCGATTGAAATTTGTCAGGGGCCCAACGGCAACGTGTTTACTCAGGACCCCTGACGTTGTGTGGATGAATGCCAGTGTGTAATGATAAAGATCCTGTGAAAGTATTATTAAATTTAATTCTGTAGTATAGGAGTTAATTGTTGTTAAGAGAGATTGCTACACCCGATAATATAAAAAGAATTGCAGTGACCATATTTTTTTCTACTGGAAACTCGAAAATGTGTCCAATCAAAAAGTTAAAAAGAAAGTCACAACGGCACTGTGTAATAAAGATTCTGTGAAAATATCTTTAAATTTTATTTCGTAGTATAAAGAATTGTGGATAAGAGATGGGTACCTCGTATAGTATAAAAAGAATGGCAGTGACCATATTTTGCTATTGGAAACCCGAAATATGTATCCATTCAAAAAGTTTTATAGAGAGTCACAGTGGCACTATGTAATAAATATTCAGTGAAAAGGATGGTCTTAATAAATTTAATTCAGTGGTGTAGGAGGAGCTGCAGATAAGAGATGGGTTCCCCAAAGCGTAGTGGACGTACGGACTGAACCCACCCACCCCCCATCACTGTAACATCCCCTTCTCATTTGTTAATCTTAATTACAGCAAACTTACGCGATAGTCGTCAGTTGTTGATAGACATGTATATCATCCTCACAACGGCAGGGATCTTCAGTCCACTCGTGGCCCTGGGACCCCTGACAAACTTCATTTTTACGGGATGACTGCAGAGACCTCTTTCGGGTAAATTATCAACCCTGAATGTTCATCTTAAATATCTCTCGACAAATCACATTAATTAAAATCGTTCGGTGACAAGCAACTTGTAACACGAGTATTGTGGTGTCAACTGCTTCTTTTCTCTCCACTTTTAAATTACCAATTCTATTGGTGCTTCTCAGAGAGAGCAGCTGGTTCGGGAAAAAGGTTAGCCAGGAGTCCCAGGGTCCACGAGTGCAGTGTCCCTGACCTTGCGAGAATGCATGTACGAGGGGTTATCAAAAAGTTCGTGGACTACCGTCATAGAATTAAAACCGCTAGAGGTATATCAATGAATTTTCAAACATTAGAAAAGCATAACCTTTTCTATCTATTATATAAACTATATATCATACGCTTTTTAAAATGAATTATTTTAAATCATTTTAAGCAATGGTATGTCCAGGGGCGCAACATGACGCATTTTCTACCTGAGTGTAACTGAGAAAAACTCTTCTGATATGAGCATTTGTCATCCAATAATGACGTCAATTCACACTTGTGTTATGAACAATTTTTCCGTAAAAAATCCAATTTTTATCTCATTTTGTAAGTTCTATGAAATTTTATCGTAAAGAGATACGTTCACTTTATGCATAAAATGGCCCTGTCCTTATATCAATTAATTGACTATCACCCTCTGTCCCATTTCATATATCAAAATAAAGTAGAGACTTAGTGCTTTCATTTCCTATAACAAAATTTCTTTTTGAGAATCCAGGTATTGGAAAACAGGCTTTGAGAAAATGCAATGTTCTTGAAATTTGCAGAAAACATGCGTATTTGACTACTTTCTGCAAAGAATTAGAATATGAGCACAGCCCACGATCCAAAAATTTAAACATGTTTTGTGATTTTTAGAAACCGATCTTTCATTATGTAATTGCATATTTTGGATCAGAGGTTGTGCTCTATATGAAATATTGAAAAAATACCTCAACTTTTGGCCATTTTTAAGGGAATTGACAGGATATGGGGAAAATGACGAATTTTATGACGTCATAATGCATTGACTAAAGAGAAAATTACGTCATGTTCAATAGATACACGGTCACCAAGGGATAAAGTTATAAATACTGCATTTTCAATCAAAACTGAGCAGTTTCGATTTTTCAGAAATTTTCAGGGCCAAAAAAGGCCCTAAGTGGCACGGTACGCCAGAGGCCCTGGGTTCGAGTCCCGGTTGCGACTTGATTTAAATCCACCACCCAGAAAACCGTTTGAACCATGAATACTACACTGCTGCAGTTAATATTTCCGTAGAAAATAATTAAAATTGAAACACTTCCAAATTTGATTTGAAATACACTTTCAAGTCAAAGTTTGGCTCCAACACTCAGAACACAATTTGCATCTCACCATTACACTGCTTCAATATATATATCAATATATACTCAAAAGTAGAATTCAAATAAAATATTTCCAGATTTGATTCGAATTTGATTATCTGTATCGGAGAATTTCACTTCTGGGTCAAAGTTTGACTTACATTTTTAGCTCACCTGAGCCGAAGGCTCAAGTGAGCTTTTCTGATCACATTTTGTCCGTCGTCCGTCTGTCCGTAAACTTTTCACATTTTCGACATCTTCTCAAGAACCACTAGGCCAAATTCAACCAAACTTGCCACAAAGTATCCTTGGATGAAGGGAATTCAAGTTTGTTCAAATGAAGGGCCACACCCTCTTTTAAGGGGAGATAATTAGGAATTAGTGAAAAAATAATGGCATCATTTAAAAATCTTCTTCCCAAGAACCACTGGGCCAGGAAAGATGAAACTTATGTGGAAACATCCTCAGGTAGTGTAGATTCAAGTTTGTTCAAATCATGACCCCGGGGGTAGGATGGGACCACAATGGGGGGTCAAAGTTTTACATAGAAATATATAGGAAAATATCTTTAAAAATCTTCTTAAGAACAGCAAAGCCATGATTGGTCATATTATATGGAAGCATCCTCAGGTAGTGTAGATTCAAGTTTGTTCAATTCATGATCCCCGGGGGTAGGGTGGGGCCACAATGGGGGATCAAAGTTTTACATAGAAATATATAGGAAAATATCTTTAAAAATTTTCTTCTTAAGAACAGCAAAGCCATGATTGGTCATATTTACATGGAATCATCATCAGGTAGTGTAAATTCAAGTTTGTTCAAATCATGACCCCTGAGGGTAGGGTGGGGCCACAATGGGGGATCAAAGTTTTACATAGAAATATATAGGAAAATATCTTAAAAATCTTCTTCTTAAGAACAGCAAAGCCATGATTGGTCATATTTATATGGAAGCATCCTCAGGTAGTGTAGATACAAGTTTGTTCAAATCATGACCCCTGAGGGTAGGGTGGGGCCACAATGGGGGATCAAAGTTTTACATAGAAATATATAGGAAAATATCTTTAAAAATCTTCCTCTTAAGAACAGCAAAGCCATGATTGGTCATATTTATGTGGAAGCATCCTCAGGTAGTGTAGATTCAAGTTTGTTCAATTCATGACCCCCGGGGGTAGGATGGGGCCACAATAGGGGATCAAAGTTTTACATAGAAATATATAGGAAAATATCTTTAAAAAATCTTCTTCTTAAGAACAGCAAAGCCATGATTGGTCATATTTATATGGAAGCATCCTCAGGTAGTGTAGATACAAGTTTGTTCAAATCATGACCCCTGGGGGTAGGATGGGGCCACAATGGGGGATCAAAGTTTTACATAGAAATGTGTATAGGAAAATATCTTTAAAAATCTTCTTCTTAAGCACAGCAAAACCATGATTGGTCATATTTATATGGAAGTATCCTCAGGTAGTGTAGATTCAAGTTTGTTCAAATCATGACCCCCGGGGGTAGGGTGGGGTCACAATGGGTGATCAAAGTTTACAAAGGAATATATAGTAAAAAAATCTTTTTCTCAAGAACAGAAAAGCCATGATTAGTAAAATGATATGGAGGCATCCTTGGGTAGTGTAGAATGAAATTTGTTTAAATGAGGGACCCCGGGGGTAGGGTGGGGCCACAATCTGGGATCAAATTTGTACAAATGAATATATAGGAAAAAATCTTCTGCTCAAGAACAGCAGTGCCATTTGTTATATTGATATGAAAGCATCATCAGGTAGTTTAAAATTCACCCCCCCCCCGTAAACTTTTAAATACTGAACTGATTTCTGCTTTTTTTTCCTTAGCCAATGTGCTCAGGTGAGCGATGTGGCCCATGGGCCTCTTGTTTTTTTTTACTCTTACTATTCTCTGTTTCCAGATCCAAATATCACTGATTTTGAGCATCTTTTGGTTCATTGGATTTTGATTCTGTCATAAACTCTCTTCATCGGAGGAAAACATGTATGCCTTTACAACGCAAAATATAAACTGATTCTGAAGCATCGCATACTTGTATAAATACGACTATCCCCCAATACCCACCTGTAACTGTCCATTCTTTAGTAAAAGACCATTTGTTTTTTGCATCTGAAATCACAATAGTTATTCAACAAATGTCTGTGATGAAATTTTATCTCACTCGAGATTTAGTAAAAGAAGATTAATTCAAAATGTTTAAAATATAATTTCCGGAAAACACAATTAGACATACTTTATCACAATAACAATTACAATTTGTTCTATACAAAATAGGTAACGGTTCTTCAGATGTATTATATAATCCTCGCAATTATAATCTGAT